TAAATCTGCCTCTCAAATAAAAAGAAAAATTAATCTTTAAAAAAAGGAGAGTAAAGGAGATGTTATGGTTCTGCTTTCAACAAACAAGTTTTAATAACTCACAAAGGGAAGAACTTAAAATACTTGTTCAGATATTGTCTATTTCCTTTTTTAAAAAGATATATTTATTTATTCAACAGGAAGACTGACAGTTCACCTCCCAAATGCCCTGAACAGCCAGAGCTGGGCCAGGCTCAAGCCAGGAGCCAGTGACTCCATTCAGAACTCCTACATGGATGCAAAACCCCCATCACTTAATGATTTACAACAGCCAGGCTGGACTGAGCCTGAAGTCCATAGCTTCAATCCAGATCTCCCATATGGGTGGGGGCAGGAACCCAGCTACCTGAGCCATCACCCCTGCCTCTCAGGATCTGCGTGGTGAGGAAGCTGGTATCAAGATCTGGGATCTGGATTTGAACCCAGGCCCTCTGATGTAGACCATACATGTCTTAGGGGCTAGATCAATTGCACGCACCCTAATTGGGTAATGTCTATGGATCCATTTTCAAGTTAAGTGATTTTTCCGTCATTCCTTACCATGCTGTTGGCCTCTGCAGTAGATTTTTCTCGTGTTCAGCCTATTTGTCTGTCCTTGAGTGGCACATTAGAGAAACAGAACAGCCAGAGCTCAGAACTGATCCCAGGGGACTCACAGATAATAGCAAAGGGTACATATGTAGGCAAATGCACAGCAACCCACTGAGGAGTCTAAGGAAGAGAATGTCAATGTCCAATTTTAAAAGACCACAGGGAACTGTTGGAAAATGTATTGAATGGGGCAAGGCTAGAACCCATAGATCTGTAAGGATGTATTTGTCTTGGTCTAGGAGCTGAGCGCCTGGCTGTGCATGCTACCCAGATTTCACCTGAGGCTCAGGGTTCTGCAGAGCCCCCAGCCTTTCCAGGAAGCTGCTGCAGACTGCTGTCACCATGGCAGCGGTGCCTCTTGGCCCGGATGGATCACTGGAGTGACATCATTACAGAAGCAACCCCCCATCCCTGCCATGAGAGAGCTGGTTGCCATGGTGCCACTAAGTAGGCAAACAAGAATCTTCCATTCTTATCCGGGCTCTGTGTCCTTGCACCCACAGACAGGGGCTCTGTACCCAAAGAAAAATTAGGGAGAGAGAGTGGATCACGATATAAGAGCCAGAAAGAGGCTGCCAGGTAGGTGGTTGTGAATCACCATAACTTAAGACTTACCTAGCTCAAGGTTGCTGGTACAGCCTGTGATGCATTGGAGGAGGCAGGGGAGCTGACGTGGAGTGGGGAGAGCCCACGGCAAGGAGGCTCATGAACTCCAAACCCCATTTTCCTCTCACTTCAGAGGGCATCTTCATGCTGTTTCCTCCTCTGAGCAAAGCTGTGTAACAGATTAAGGCCTCCTACCTTCTCCCCATTGCCCTAGGAGAACCTGCGGATAGACTTCAAGAGTGGGTTTTGTGAAATTTTAAAATATGTATTTATTCATTTATATTATTTTACATTATATCATTTGTGTTATTTATATTTATATTATTCATATTATTTTATTTATTTTATATTTATTTATTTTTATGGATTTACAGAGAGAAGGAGAAACAGATAATAGATCTTTCTGTTCTGCTGGTTCACTTCCCAAGTGACTGCAACAACCAGAATTGAACTGATCTGAAGCCAGGAGCCAGGAGCTCCTTCAAGGTCTCCCTTGCCGGTGCAGGATCCCAAGGCTTTGGGCCGTCCTCGACTGCTTTCCCAAGCCACAAGCACGGAACTGATGGGAAGTGGAGCAGCCAGGACACAAACCGGTGCCCATATGGGATCCTGGCACATTCAAGGCAAGGTTTTAGCCATTAGGCTATCATTTAAGGCCCTAGATTTGTGAAATTTTTTTACTTAGGCTTGTCTGGAAGCAGGGCTGTGGGTCCCAGCCAAAGCAAGGCAGGCTAGGACAAGGCAGGATCCCAGGCTTTCTTCATCCTCTGCCCTCCAGCCATGCTCTGCAAGGGTCTTCATCCCCTTGGGAAAGGAAGTCCCTCTCTAGGAGCCCTGAGAACCTGCTTGGCCTTCAGAGGGCATTGCTGTATGAATCAGAATCCCTATCACCATCCCCACCCCCAGCAATGAGCAGTAGAAAGAAGCGCAGCATCAAGGCTGGGACTCTTCATCCTTCTGCCAGCGATGCCCCAAGTAGCCTGAAATCTGAAAGGGGAGAGAGGATCGCCTTGGCTTAGCTCACCCCAAGGCCATATGGCCCTCTTTCTCACAGTGTGTTCTCTCAATTACTCCTTGGCTTCAAATGATTTCTATAACTCACTTAAAAATGACGTGTCCTGGGGCCTGGCGGCGTGGCCTAGCGGCTAAAGTCCTCGCCTTGAACGCACCAGGATCTCATATGGGAGCCGTTTCTAATCCTGGTAGTTCTACTTCCCATCCAGCTCCCTGCTTGTAGCCTGGGAAAGCAGTCAAGGACGGCCCAAAGCTTTGGGACCCTGCACCCGTGTGGGATACCCGGAAAAAGTTCCTGGATCCTGGCTTCGAATCGGCATTGCATCGGCCGTTGTGCTCACTTGGGGAGTGAATCATTGGACGGAAGATCTTCCTCTCTCTCTCCCCTCCTCTCTGTATATCTGGCTTTCCAATAAATAATAAATAAATCTTTATTTAAAAAAAAATGACGTGTCCTGCACAAGGTGATAATCCAGTAACCCTCTACTTCCTAACATGACCAAGCACCTTGAAGCAGAGTCACATAATGAAACTGGAGATATGTATCATGTCCTAACCAAACAAAATACAAAAATAACTGCACAAATGCGTGGAGGAGCCCAACCGATGGTGAGAGAAACTGAAGGGATTAGAATCCTTGGAAAAGGGGGAGCCCCCGGGGGAAGAGAGGGGCTCTCATTAGCCTAGAGATCTCTTGCAGCTCACCCCAGCACAGAGACCGAGGCCTCATGGGGACACAGAGGTCCTTCTGGCTGGCGAGGAGAACCCACAGTGCCCATACACACAGCCCCCACACCCTCAGCTGTCTTCTCAAGGGCACGTATTCAGGGTGAGAGTTCAAGGAACTAAATGGGAGAGTCATTAAAGATCTGGATTTTAGAAGCTGCCACAGTGTTGCGGAGGCTGAGATTGGTGTTCAGGACTCATAAATGCAGAAGGCCTGGGTCAGCCTTGAGGTTTGCAATGCAACCTCTGAAGGAACACGGATCAGGTGTGAGTGCCACATCCCAGGACTAAGGGATATAGCAAAGGGTTAACAGCACAGATGAGGGGCTGGTGTGGTGGGACAACATGCTAGGCTGCCACCTGCGACAGAGGCATCACATGTGGGAACACCAGGTCAAGTCATGACTGCTCCTCCTCTGATTCATCTCCAGGCTAAAGTGCTCAGAAAGGCAGCAGATGATGTTCCTCGGGCCCCTGCCACCCACATGGTAGACCTGGATGAAGCTCCTGGCTCCTGGCTTCAGCCTGGCCTGGCCATTGTGGCCATTTGGTAATTAAACCAGCAGATGGACAATCTCTCTTTCTTTCTCCCTCTCTCTCCATACACTCCCTCTCTCCCTCTCTTTGTAACTCTGCCTTTCAAATAAATAAATCAGTTTTTTAAAAGGAACATAACCGAAATATTCCTACCCTAACCCGGCTTATTCAGGATTCAGATTTTCTGCCCAAAGTGTAATTTCCTGCCAAAACAAACTGAACAGCCTTGAAGGGAAGATAATGTTATTTAGAATTTCCATAATATGTCAGCCCAAAATGTCTAGCAAGCCTCAGAGTAACATGTAAGTGGCAGGGCTTGGAAAGCTCACACACAGGTCTATAAGTAGACAGGGGAGGTAAGCGGTCCCTTAGAGAGTTAGGTGTTACAATAACTGTGTTTAAGAAGCGGGCCTTGAGGTCAGGGTGGGCGTAGTGGATTAAGCTGCTGCCTGTGATGCTGGTACCCTATATGTCCCAAGTTATGTCCCTACTGTTCCACTTCTGAGTCAACTCTTCAGTAATGGCCTGGGAAAAGCAACAAAAGGTGACCCAGCAGTTTGGGCCTCTGCCATCCATGTATAAGACCTGGAAGAAGCATTTGGCTTCAGCCTGACCCAGTGCTGGCTGTTGTAGCCCTCTGATAATGGTCATCTGGCTGGAGGAAGATGACCCTTCTCTCTGTCACTCCTTCTGTCTGTAACTCTTTCAAAGAAAGGAATCTTTACAGTATATATGCATAACAGTAAAAAGTACCTATCTTTTAAAAGAAGAAACTGGCCTTGAAGTAGAGTGGGTTAAGACTCCTGTTGTGACTTTGGCATCATATGAGTGCCAGTTTCAGTCCCTCGCTGTTCCACTTCTGATCTAATTTCCTGGTAATGTGCAGGGTGGAGTTCCAGGTTCCTGGCTGCAGATAGCCCCAGCCCCTGGCCCTTACTGGCATTTGGGGAGTGAACCAGCAGATGGAAGTGATCTCTCTGCCTTTCAAATAACATGAAACCTAATTAATGAATTAATTAATTAAAGGGCTCAGTGGTCTGGACCTAGGGTGACAGCAATAATGCTTGTGGAGTAAAGACAGAATCCACAAGATTGCCAAAGATCTTTGAGAGGGTGAGGGTCAGGTATGAAACAGGAATAATAAAATTCGAGTGTCCTTTCCTTACAACAAGCCCAGGAGGTAGGTACTGTTCCTGCCTATGGCCCACGTGGATTTACTTATATAATCTGGGACCTGCGGGTAGAACTGGTGGCCTCTGCGGCCTTGCTGACGTCAAAAAGGCTTGGACTAGAAACTGCCAGAGGTGCTGGATGCGGGAGGGGAGGCGATAAGGAGAAGGAGGGGTTGGGTAGGAGTCTGCAAGAGCGAGGCCGGTTGCGATTGGCTCGCTGGCAGTGGGAAGCGACCGCCCGGTTCAGTCCCTCCGGCCGCTGTCGCCACCTGCATTGCGACTCTGGTGGAGGTGAGAGCGGCCAGAGCCGAGAGGATGCGGCGCCCGCCGAGGCTTGGGGGCTTCGGTGGTCTGCGGCTGCTTGTTGGCCTCCTCCTGCTAAACAGCAGCCCTGGGGACTGCGGCGACGTTGGTACCCACGGTCAGGAGGAACTTGGGGGTGTGAAGGGGTGGAGAGGGGAGATGGCGGGCTCTGGCAGGGTCGGGGCATGATTCTGAGAGAATTGGGTTGGTGGCCAGGAGGCTGGGCAACTCAAGAGAAGAAAGTTCGGGGCGGTGAGAAGAGGTGGGAGTGGAGAGCGTCCCGCCCAAAGAGGCGGAGGCTTGCGAAGGGGCTTGGCCCAGGGAACCTGGACCCACGCAACGGGTTCCCAAAGAGACTGGGGGATTTAGGAAGGGGACGGGAAGACAAATGCACAGAGTTACAACCGACCTATGTGACCACTGGAGAAGCGAGAGATCCCTTGGTAATAAAGAAGCTGAGGCCAGGGCCGAGGCAAGGGATGTGGTCTGCAAGGTGCCCGCATCCCGGCCCCAGGGAGAAGGCTGGACCGGGTGTTACGATTTCCAATAAGAAAAACACGCCCCCCCCCCTCCCGCCCCGGCTTGGGGTAAACATCCCCACCTGACTCCCGCCTCCTCATTGAGGTAATAGGCGACGCTGACTCACGTCTCGTCTGTTCGAGTGCGCAGACGCTGCAATTACGAGTTGCGCGAAGGGAGGAGCTCAACCTGCTAGTCACACGTCGAGTCTCCCCCTCCTGATTCCCGGGTTCAGGGGCTCCAGCAGAGATTTCGTAGGTGCAGAGGGGAGGTGAAAGATGGGGAGCAGAGGACGAGGGGGCCTCCCAGAGTGGTTACTGCACCGCGTCTTGACCACGTCTCAGCACCACGGACAGTGCTAGCCAAGCCGCAGGTGCCTGCAGGGCGGTTTCCTTGCCCTGGGTGCATATTTCTTTCAGCTCTTTTCTTTATGGGTAGGGTGCTGGAGGCTTCACTGACTACTAGGTCTCTTCTTAAAATCAGTCCAGAACGATTCTACAATTCCGTGACAAGAGAGTTGACTCTTCGGTAGCTCTCCTCAGGTTCCACATTAGGGAATTCAAACAATTGCGGATGAAAAATGTTTAAGAAAAAAAAAGTGTTTGTGTTAAACCAGATGTATGTCTTATTGTTACTCCCTAAACAAAACAGTAAAACAGCTATTTACATACCATTTACATGTTACTTAGATGTTAGAAGCAAGCAAGAGATGATTTAAAGTGTATGGGTTAGGAACATTGCATAGGTGATATACAATGCCATTTTCCATCACAGACTTGAAAGATTTTGGTGTCTGTTGGGAGGAGGCTCTGGAAGCAATTCACTGAAGATACTGAGGAACCCAGAAGAAGTCTTGGAACATAGGATTAAAAGATAACCTCACTTTTGTGGAAAGCTTTGTAAAAATTTGCTCATGGGTTTATCATAATGCACATTTTCTATTAAGTGTTCCTTTGAAACATTTCAAGCCTCCTCTAACCCCTCCAGGCTCCAAAGCTTTCCTTAAGATTCAACTCACCTGCTTCCCAGACTCTACCTAGCCACCTAGGTACCCATTCCATGTGGTAGCTTTCTGAGTCTCTGTTCCCCTGACCCTACACAGGCTGCTTTTTGTAAGTTTGGATCTCCCTTGGCCGTTGGTCCTAAGGATGAGTGAGGCCCAGGGCTGAAGAACAGGCAAGGTGATAAATGGGAAAAGAAAAGATGAAATGGAAACGTGAGGACTGGAAGATGGGAAGGAAGCCTGGTGCAATGGGATAGGATGGGTAGAAAAACAAACAGGGGTTCCCGCAGTGACCCTCGAAGGGCACTGCTTCTCTTTAAATGGGATCTGGAAGGCTTTTGGGATCCATGCTGACACCACCATCTTATCTTTAGATGGCCAGGGCCAAGTGGGAGTGGGACAGCTCTGGTCTCTCCAAGGGCTCACCGCTCCAGTCTTCCGGCACGTGCAAGTTGTACTCCAGCAGATCATACCTCATGGTAAGTGAAAGCTGGAGAACAGAGGCTGGAGCTTGGAAAGATGAGAACAGTGTGATGGGCTTTGTGAACTAACAATAGGATTTCTTTTTCCTGAATGCCTCTACTGGAAACTTTGTCAGCTACACCTCATGGAGGGAAGGGTAAGGCAGAAGCTAGATGCGTGGGCTGTTTGCAAGAGAGCCCAGTGAGAAACTTCTAGAAGAAACTCCTAGAAAAGGCCAGCTTGCAACTACATGATACTAATCTTAGTCCCTGCACTGACTCAATTCTCAGCTGGGAGGCCACACCTCACCCTCTAAGAAGGAAGCAGGGAAAAGTATATGAGACATAGAGGAGAGGTTGTGAGAGAGTGGAGACCTACTGAGACAGACGGCTGATCCTTCCCTGGAGAAATTGATGAATGAGTGGGAGAGTTATATAGGAAATCTGCTTTGAGTTCATATTGCTATAGGTATGTCTAGTATGTGTGTAGTGCCTTAAAGCAGTAGTTTCCTAAGTGAATTCTGGGCCAGCAGCATCAGCATCCCTGGGGATATTATTGGAAGTGCTAAAGCTTGATTTTCATCCCAGACCTCCTACACCAGAAACCCTGGATGTGACAAACAGTAACCTGTGTTTTGAGAAATCTTGCAAGAGATTCAGATGAGAGACACAACCTTAGTGTTTTCTAAGCTCTGTTTACATTTGTAAGTTCATTTGATCTTCACATGGTAACTCCAGTGAATCAATAAGAGATTATCATTATAATCCCAATTCAATATGGCATGTCCAGAACTGCGCTAAACAAACTTTATGTCAGTTCATTCTTATCACAAAATGTAATCTGACATTTACATGAGGCAGAGGTCACTCTGGTCCCTAATGTGGGTAAAATAGTGTCCCTCATGTAAATTCAACCTATGCTTTGTTCTGCAGGTCTGTTCTGGAAGAATGACATCACCCAGGATGTGATGACCCAAAAGATGGGACACATCAGCAGACTCTACCCCCAAGATTCATGTATGAGAGACGGGAAGGCAGTCTTCCCCACTAAAACCAATGGGGTGAGGTGGGTAAGGCTGACAGCTGACCCATGCTGGGTGGTAGACAGAAACTGGAGTCTCTGTGTAGATCCTGAAACTGGAGTTAGGAGCCAGTTGGAATGGCAGGAGGAGAATGAGGCAGAGGTCCCATGTGGAGTCTGTGACCCATTGGTAGTATCAGCAAAAGGATGGGAGGTGGGTGGTAGCAAGCCTGGATCTTGTTTGTCTTCTTGTCTCCTCCAGAGGCAAGAAAGAGGATAAACTTCAACTCCTATTCCCCAAGGTGAGATGCATGCATCGTCCCAGCAGTTGTGAATCCCTGACTTCCCCTTTACTTTCCCTCTTGGGCACCCTCATCCTTCCTATCTTCTTGACTACCAGCTTCTCTCCTCACAGAGCCCAGTAGCCAAGATGAACAAAGATCAATGCTTTACCTCCAATGTAGTTTCAAAGACCTTGAAAAGAGAGGCAGCGCACCCTGCCAAGGTGAGGGACTCACTTTCAGTATGGACGCCAACATATCTGAGTGAGGGAGGCAAGCATGTGGGAGGTAATCTGAAGCAAAGCACCAATCTAAAGGGATCCCCACTTCCCTGTATCTCCTAGAGTCTTCCTGTGGAGGATAAAGCATGATGCAGGTGCTAGGAGCAGCTAAAGAAGAAATGCTTGCTAAGATCATACATGGATATCAAGCTTGAAATAGGCCTTGAAAGGCAGGTGTTTGACCCAACGGTTAAAGTGCTGGTTAAGACACCCATTTTCCATATCAGAGAGCCCGAGTCTAATGCCTGGTTCCAGCTTCTGAGTCTAGATTCCTGCTAATGAATACCCTGGGAGGCAGCAGTAAAAATGCAAGTGATTGGATTCTTGCTACCTGGGTGGAAGATCTGGACTGGGTTCCTGGTCCTGGCCTCATTCCCCTTCCTGTCCCATTCTTGGCACTTGGAAAATGCGCCAGTAGATGGAAGTGAGGGGTGAACTGTCCCAAACAGCCTCCTCCATGTTCAAAAAAGTCTTTTTTGTTTTGATATGAAACTTATATTGCAAGAAGAGGACAGTCAGAGGCAGCTTGAAAGGACATCCTGGGCAGAAAGCATTGCAGCCACCAATGCCCTGAGCCAGGGATGTCACAGACAGAAAAACCAGTGTGGAAGAAGCAGGCTCAAGGTCAAGGACTTGGCTTTTATGCTAAGGACAGAAAGAGATTAATCAGGAAGCTTTCTGGAAGAGATATCACAGTGTGAGACATCATTTTGAAAGGCCTGTGGGTGTTGGCGAATGACAGATGAGAAGAGCCAGAGTGGAGGCTGAGAGACCTGTAAGGAGCCCACATCCTCTCCTGGGAGATGGGGGTGTCTTGGTCTTGGGTGGTTGGGGAGAGCTGAGTGGAGCTGAGCATCCCACTCCCAGCTGTGTGCCCTCCATCCAGAGGCAGCACGAACCTTGGGGTTCCAGGCCCTCCTGCTCTTCAAAGAATCATCTGTCTGTCATACCCGTAATGTAGCAGCTAGGCTTTCTAAGGCTGGGATGGTTGCTGAGGCAACCTGATCAGTTCTAAGTAGCAGAGCCTACCTGTTCAGACTGGCTGCCTTGGCACTTCTGGGAATGCAAACATGATATTCCGGAACAATACTCCCATTTTTCTCCAGCTCCAACCTGAGGGAAGATCAAGGAGAGGGTGGAGCTTGATGTGGGAGCCAAGGGGCCGCGTCACTGCAGTCTCATTATAATTGGGCTGCTGTTGAAGCATTGGGGGAGAAAGGGCAGGGGACACATCCTTGTTCAAATTCCTTGTTTCTTCTTGTGACACAGGGCTTCTTCGAGCCACTCCCCACTGTAGGCCACAACCTGGTCGCTGACTGAGACCTCATGAGACATCTCCCCACTCCAGGCCTTCCCAGGGAACAGTTCTCAGCCAACCCACATCTGGATCATTAAAGTGAAATTTCATGCAAAACACTTCTGTTTGCTTGTGCTGTTTGCTTGTGCTTGTCTTGAGGCAGGATGGGTGGGAACTGAACTTGGCCAGAGCCTCCTAAGCTGGAGCGCTGGAATCCCAGCACAGCTCTTGGTGCTGAAGGAGAGCAGCTCTCTGCCCTTTCCAGCCCCCTCCCATTGACCCTTCCTGAAGTGAAGTGGAGAGCGAGGGAGGGCCTTCCCTGCTCATTTCCCAGCCATGCTTTGTTGTCTGTCTGCCCATATCCTTGTGTGTCATGGAGGACAGAATACTATTTGTAGCCAATCATTCTTCCACTTTGAAACCAAACAGGCCTGAATCATATTGTTTTCTGAGGGTCTCTACTCCAGCTGTATAAGCCTTGCTGGAGCTGCCCTCAATGATCAAACAGCAGTGTCAGGGTCAAAGTGTGCACACACTTAACACTTCTTTGGCTCTTCTATTTAGTTTATTTCTGTTAGCATGAAATTTTGAAAGACAGTGGTAATCTGCCCAACCAAACAGCAGAATGTTGTATTTGCAAAGCACTTTCTTTCTGGAAACACTTTTAAAATTCATTAGATAGTGCTCAGTGTGGAGGCCTAGTAGCTAAAGTCCTCACCTTGCATGTGCTGGGATCCCATATGGGCACCGGTTCTAATCCTGGCAGCTCCAGTTCCCATCCAGCTCCCTGCTTGTGGCCTGGGAAAGCAGTCGAGGATGGCCCAAAGCCTTGGGATCCTGCACCCACATGGGAGATCTTGAAGAAGTTCCTGGCTCCTGGATCTGGATCAACACAGCTCTGGCGTTGTGGTCACTTGGAGAGTGAATCAATGGATGGACGATTTTCTTCTCTCTCTTTCCTCTGTATATCTGACTTTCCAATAAAAAAAATAATATAAATCTTTTAAAATATAAAAAATAAATAAAATTCACCGGATACTGACAGGTGTAAACCAGTGGGCAGGTGTCAGAATTGTGCTTCGTCAAGACATTAGGACTTGGCCACACCATCTCTCATCCACTTAAGCAATCTAGAGAAATAAAGCAACTGGTTCATGGTAGTAGAGATGCCCAGTCATGCAGCTGTGTTTGCTCTCTCCTCCCTACTAGTTGTGTTCTAGGACATAGCTAAACTTAATACCAGGTCAGTAGTACTCACTGGAACCCAGGTCCCACCAAATCAGTTCATCACTGCCAGTCACCCATTATTTCCTCTATTTTTTTCATTCATTCTCAAACTCTGGACTTCATTATGCCTTTCTCCTGCGAGCATGTTAGATTCCACAGGGAGTGTCCCCCGCCTTCTTTCCTGCTCACATCTCCTTTCACCGGCAGCTGCAAGTAGACAGTCCCTGCAAGTGGACATCTCCACTTCAAGCCCTGGCACTCATCCTGGGAGTTTTCTGGAAAGCTGGTGCTTTCACATAGCCCTTAAGTACCTGGGATTTGACATCACCAGAGAAAACCCTCAACTAGTGTATGACTGAATAGAGTGCAGGAATTCCATTCCTTAGTTTACAATGCTGAGAAATGTTTAGTACTATTCTCCAAAGAGTGCCCAAAGAGTCAGCTTCTGTCCACAGCCCCGCAATGACACCCATTTAACAAGATGCCTGCCATGACTGACCAATCTCTCATTATTGGTCCACCTCCCTGAACCTCATTTATGCTACCTGGGCTCATCTCCCACACAAGCTAGCTGCACTCAAATTCTTATCTCAGTTTGCTTTTGGATCAATCCACACTAAGCCTACTATGTGCTGGACACCCTTGTATAGGATGCAGCTGTAAATAAGGCAAAGTACTCACTGTCTTGAATTTTGGTTATAAATCATTTATTAACCATAATGCTCACGGGGGAAAAGCCTAATATATTGACCTGGCCTACAGAAAACTCAAGTTTTTGCCTCATCCACATCTTCAGTACTGGAGTCTTCCCTTACTCTGCCACCTGTTTGCTCCAGTTGGCCAGCCCTGCTTATATTTTCAAAATGTCCTCAGATGGTTCATGCTTCTAGGCCCCTGTGTATGCAGTCTCCAACACACACTATCACCCTCATGTTAAAAATCTAAATTCTTAGGGCCAGCAGGTATAACACCTGAAGATACTGCCAGCATTGCTGGCATCCCCACCTGGAGTCCTGGCCACTCAACTTTTAATCGAACTTTCTGCTAATGTGCCTAGGAAAGCATCAGAGGATACCCAAGTACTTGGGTCCCTACATTCATGTGGGATACCTGGAAAAAGCTCCTGGCTCCTGGCTTTGTCCTAGCTTAGCACTGGCTGCTGTGGCCATTTGCACAATTAACCAGTGGATGGAAGATTCCTCTCTCTTCTATCTCTTTCAAATAAATAAAAAATAAATAAATGTCTTTGGGTCCAGCACAGTGGCCTAGTGGCTAAAGTCCTCATCTTGAACGCACCAGAATCCCATATGAACTCTGGTTCTAATCCAGGCAGCTCCACTTCCCATCCAGTTCCCTACTTGTGGCCTGGGAAAGCAGTTGAGAATGGCCCAAAGCCTTGGGACCCTGCACCCAAGTGGGAAACCCGGAAGAGGTTCCTGGTTCCTGGCTTCGGATCAGCACAGCACCAGCCGTTGCACTCACTTGGGGCAGTGAATCATCGCATGGAAGATCTTCCTCTCTGTCTCTCCTCTCTGTATATCTGACTTTGTAACAAAATAAATAAATCTTTAAAATAAATAAATAAATAAATGTCTTTAAAACATTAAATTTCCTCTGTAGTGTACTCTCCGACCATTCTAATATCTGCAGATTCTGGAAAAATAAAATTGATAGGGGAAGTGAAGCAATGAGATAATTCTGACTGAGAAAGTGAGTAGAAAAGGTGGGAAAGTAAAATGAACTTTAAAGGCAAGCAGACTAGTTCTGACTGAAAAGGACTGGGCTTTTATGATTTAGATCTGATTTGATAGACAATGAGGAGCCCCAAAGGTTTTTGTTTTTGTTTATTTATTTTTTTAAGCAAAAGAATCACACCATAAAATGCCGGAGGCCTGCTCTGGCCGACTCGAGAGCTTGCAAAGGATGTGTGGATCAGCGAGACAATAAGAAGAGAAGAGATATGAGGGAGAGGCAGAGGAGGCATGGACCATTACGGCATGATGCTCATAATGGACAACTCAGAAAAATTGCCTTCTTTATTTATACACAAATCATCACAAGCTTTTACACAATATCCAATTGTTTCATTTTTACTTCATGGTTAAAAGAATGATTACAAAAACAATTGTAAAAAAGCATTATTATTTCACTTCAAAGAAAATATATTCAGAAAATCATTACTCATTCAAACCTGCAGTCACCCGGCAGAAGCCAGGAACTCCATGGTTGGCAGCACATGTGGTTACATAGTGACAAGTGGTTTACTTATATCCAAAATCAATTTTTGCTAAACACAAACTAACTAATATTGCTTAAAATATTAGGAGTACAGAATTAAAAGATCATAAATGAAAGGATTTTATAAAAGCATATAACATATTCTTTGCTAAACCTCATAATCAAATCATGCATTAATTACTGTCATCTTCACCTAGTGCTGATTCAACTGTTTTTGTTCTTAGTGCTGATTCAACTGTTTTTTTATTCTTTTGTTAAAGGGCAGTGAAAGGGATCAAGGCAACTCAGCCAATCTACAGAGGGCCTTTACAAGAAACTTCCTTTTATCTTTATAAACTGTTTTCTTTCCCTAAATATGAGTGCCAATATAAGATAGAAGCTTTTATAAACTGTTTTCTTTACCTAAATATAAGTACCAGTATAAGGTTGAGATTTTAAGCCATTTTTGGGGTGATTCACATTTGTTTCCTTTTAGAAGATGCCCCATATACTTTTTGCTTTCTGTGGTGAGAAACTAAAATACGTCATATCATGTGTTGTAACAGTTGGAGGTGCATGGTAAACAAACTCTTTGTACCTCCATGATTGCCATCTGTTCCAAGATTTATCAAGCCATTTCTTAAGGAAAACATTACTTATATTAGGGCAAACTTCAGGACAAAGGTGAGCACATAACAGGATTTTGGAGACATTGTAGGCTCAATTGTACTATTGTATACTTTTAGCTGTGTGTCATAGCCTGATGTCGCTAAAGATGTTTTTTATCATAACAGGATTGATCAATTTGAGGTATTATACCAGTTACAGGAATCATTTCACATTAACAGAAAAACAACAACACCCTCAGGAAAATTCTATGAAACATCAGAGAGGTGATTGAGTGTCCTCACAATGGGGTGAGGCAGCAAGGAGGTGACCAGAGACATTCTGCCGGGCCTTGCCACGCAGCCAGAAACTCCCCGTAGCCTTGCTAACCGAGGAGTGGTGCTCATCACACACCCATGCCATCCGACCCAACTGCATGGCTCACCACAATGAAAGATGTATTTAAGAATAATCTATGGGGCCCAGAGTGGTAGCCTAGCAGCTAAAGTCATCATCTTGTGTGTGTCAAGATCCCATATGGATGCCGGTTCTAATCCCAGAGCCCCCAGCTTCCCATCCAGCTCCCTGTTTGTGGCCTGGGAAAGCAGTTGAGGGCGGCCCGAAGCCTTGGGACCCTGCACCTCTGTGGCAGACCCAGAAAAAGTTCTTGGCTCCTGGCTTCAGATTGGCTCAGCTCCAGCCATTGCAGCTGCTTGGAGAATGAATTATGGAACAGAAGATCTTCCTCTCTGTCTCTCCTGTTCTCTGTATATCTTTCTAATAAAAATAAAATAAATCTTAGAAAAAAAAAATCTATGGGCCTGGCACAAGAACCTAGTGGGTAAATCTCACCTTGCGTGCGCCAGGATCCCATAATGGCGCCGGTCCATGTCCCAGCTACTCCCCTTCCAGAACCCTATTTTCAGCCTGGGAAAACAGTAGAGGATGGCCCAAAGACTTGGTATCCTGCATCCACGCAGGAGGAAGAAGCTCCTAGCTTCAATGGTTGTGGCTATTTGCCGAGTGAACCTGCAGAGGAAGGATCTTTCTCTCTGTCTCTCA